AACAGCCTGCTGGCGCTCACCAGCTTCCACGGGACTGAACCGTGGCTGTAGACAGAGATCAGCCTGTCCGTGCTTCATGCCATTGCTCTTCCACACCAGAGGAACCAGCAGGGCTCTATCCGCTCTGATGGGTAAATCAAGATATTTCTGCCTTCCCTGTCAGGTCCTTCCTGATAGATCTGAGCATGGGTGCAGTCCAGACATTTGCTCAGCTGTGCAGAGACAGAGTTGATGGTTGGACGGATGGATGGATGGACTGGGTGGCTGATTCAGGAACAGAAGGCTCCTACTTTGGCATTTCCGTGTTCTTTCAAATGAAGGAAGCTGTTACTCCCAGCTAAGCCCTTAATAACCAAAGCCACGAAGACCTTCTGGCTAACTGATAGACATCAGCAGAGGAAACAACACTAAATTAGAAACCCAAGTTTATCAGAAGACAACCCACACCAATCAAGTGCTCCATTACCGAAGCAACAACCCGACCTCCCACAAGAGAAGCTGTGTAAGAGGATGTTTCAAGCGAGCACAAACGCACTGCAGCAGTCCACAACAGCAGAGAAAGGAAACAGACCGCCTACACAACATCTTCCACAAAGCAGATCTCCACACAACTTTATCAAAAAGTGCCTGGCCGCTCACCCTACTGCAACACAACCCACACAAGCTATGAAAAGGACCACACTGCCACACATCAGAAACGTCTCAGAAACCACCCACAGACTATTACAACCACATCGCCTCTCCACAGCACACAAACCAACTCAAGCCCTCCAAAACGTCCTAAGCCAGCCGAAAGACCCGCTAGCCCAAGAAGGAAAAACAGGAGCCATCTACAACATGCAGTGTGAGAACTGCAACAACCACTACGTAGGACAGATAGGCAGAAGGCTGGCAGGGCGCATCCACGAGCACCAACGAGCAGTCAGAAAATGCGATGGAAATGCCTTAATCTCCCAACACACGGACAGACTCAACCACAGTTTCAACTGGGAAAAGTTCAGCATCTTAGACCAAGCATCTTATTCCGGCTACCTGTTACACCACGGCAGGGATGTATAAACCAGGCCATGTATGTGTCCAGTGCTTTGGTCCATAGGCAGAAAGAATCAGCGCTAGTTTTTTCCAAAGACAGACCAAACGGAATTGTTCAGGCAGGAGAGGGGAGGGTCTGGGCCGGTGGGTGGGACACATCACGCTGGACCCTTCAGTGACTGCCCTGTCACAGAGACGAAGAAGCACATAAGCTGAGCCTCCCCATCCTTCTCATTCCAGTGTGTGTTTGCCCTTGTTCAGTTTTGCAGGTAACCACGATGCTCATATCTCTTTAATCTTGATGTAATCTTGAATATTGCCCTTGCATGTTTCTGTTGACCTCGTGCCCC